CTACGACTAATAATTTTAGTAAAAAAACGTTTGGACCGTTAGTTTCTATTGTTTTTAGATGGAACACCTACTTCCATCCATCTTTAAGATGGATGCTTTACACTTTCTAGACTCCGGATATGTAAAAATTCAGTCCAGCCTTCATGAAACAATTTTCCTTCAAAAAATATACATATAATCTAAATTTAGATAAAGGATACAAGTTTTATGATTATAGGATATAATTCTTTTAGAGATAGGAATATGACCAGGGATGAAGAAAAAGTAGGAAAACCAAAAATAGATCCTAGAGGAAAGAGCTGCACGAGGAAAGAGATTCTCTCCCTTGACTTTTACATGTCCTTGACTGTTGATTAATTTTTGGAAATATTGTCACATAACACCTAAAAGTTAAATTATTTAACAATTCATTTGAGGTGAGATTTTATAAATTTTGAAACCCATATCAACGATAAAAAGAACAATGGGCCACTTGGAATTAAATTAAAACATATAAGTGAGACGTTAAATAGTTCAATTGGTAGGTTAATTCGATAGGTTTCCCTCTAGTTTTCATAGTTAATTTTTCATTTCACGCAGTTTGGTACGTATTATCTTTTAGAATTCTCTTTATTACTTTATCATTAGTTTCATGAATTTTTTTACATGTTAACTTTTAAAATTCTGTATATAGCTTTATTTACGATTTTTATTTTCATATATGCATATTTTTACACTTTAACACGAAACCTTTGTAAAAAGTTTTTTCATATTAATGAAGCTTGGCAAGATAGATCATCAAAAAGATCCTTTTATTCATTTTAAATTTTTCTTCATTGTCAAAGCAAACTCCTAGGAAGGCAAGTTCTACAATAAAGGTAAAACGATATTTTTACTAAAAGAAACCGCGAAACATTACAACTACATTCCTTTACGATAGTTCGATCTGTATTCATTTTTCTTTTGGTTGAGTATTTTAACTTTTCTTAATTTTCAAAAAATTGCATATTAGTATTTTATTCCAATAACATAGGAGGGAAAAATGCATCGACTCCATTATTATTGTTTAGAGCATTTATAAATTTGAATTATATCTATACTTTCCTTTGATGCTTAATGCATTTAATACAAGCGCATTCAACTTCTATGACTATATTATACAAAATTAGACCCCCAAAATCAGCTCCTGTCAACCATCAGAGCTAAAATCACTGTTTTAACTTGAATTTTCTGAGTGAGCAAATTAAAGGAAGCCCTTCTGCATGCTGCAACAAAAAGAATAGAAAACGAATTCCTAAAATCACAAAGGAGGGTAAAAGTAAGAGGATAGAGAGAAGCAGAGAAAGAGAAGGCCTCCAATGGTAGCGACCGTTCCTTGGGAGATTTTTGAAGCCAGCATACTTCCCCCAACAACCGCCACAGAAGTGCAAATGGTGTGGCCCAATGTTGCTCCCACAGCAACCCCAATCGCATTTTTGTGAGTTGCAAGCTGAAAAGCATACACATGCAACAACAGCTCACTTGAGTTCCAATTCATATCTCGGGTGAAAACACAAGCCAGCCATAAGAGTAGAGCAATAAACAAGTCCACTTAGTTTCATGAGAACATGACAAATTTGTGAATGTACGAGCCTCGTTACTGCATACATATATGCAATGCCTTAGATGCATGCAAATGAATCTAAAGGGCCACCATGCAAAGAAGTCATGAGTCATCGTTAATCAAAGATATAGCGTGCTGTTCTTTCCTCAAATAGAATGGACGAATCTCCACCATTCAGGTAATCTTTTGGTCCACGAGTTCTTCTGGCCAGTCTAACCCCAGAAAGAGTGGGAATGGAATATTTCACCCTAGAGGCAATTATTGCCCACTGTAGCCTCCAACCCCAAATAATCTGGCTACCAAATTTCAAACCTAGGTTTCCTGCCAATATGGCAAGAAAGTCCAAAGAAAAAACAAAATATACCACTAAACCAATGGTCGGAGCAATCAACCTAAAATACGGCAGCAAAAACGTCCCACGTCAAATTTTATTGGCTTACACAAGCTTGGAAATACCCCACAACTTCTGACCCAGGCCCCATCAGAATATATTATAGAGGCCCAAACACTGTCCACAAATTATTTACCTTAGGGCCCACCAGCCAAGATCAGGCCCAATCTAAAACTACGCAAAAATTATTTAGGCCAAATTAATTTACGTAAAATTTTGTATACTAGGCCCAAATGAAAATTAGCTTAAGTTATTAATTCAAAAGTGCACACATGCGCATACACAAATGCGCGCACACAAACATTTTCTGTATCTTATGTATAAATATATATTATATAAATATCCGGGCAGGGCTCAATCCCGACCAGGACCTGCACAAAAATTGATCAGGCCTACTATGCTTGGCATGGGACCAGGCCCAGCATTCGGGCCTAAAAGTAGGGCCCGGACCTGCCCACAAGGCCTACAGGCCAGGCCAACCCGAATGTCAGCCCTAACCTAGACGGTGAAGCCAAATAATTCTGCCTCTTCAGCCAAATCAAATTATATGTATCCAAACATTTCTTGGGAGCCGTAACTCGATACTTCGTCATTTCTTTCAAAGGATACATAAGGTTCAATACCCATACTTATTCCCAATTAAAAAGAATAGCAGATGAAAATCTGAGCTGTGTATGACAGACACAGCAAGTGCTTTTGTCACTCAGAAATTCAGAAACTTCAGCTTAACCTTTTGTTAGAACGTTTGTGGTGTCTATAAGGCCAATTTTGTGGTTGGCATTTATACCAGGTGCGGACACAGAGTCACAGACACTTCTTTGTAACAGAGAAACTAAGGACCAAAAAATTAGGGGTTGTCCCACTTAAACAAGTGTCGTATGTTTCATTCATTTTCTATTGATATAAAAATGTTCAAGTATTCTAGAACTTAAAGTCATTCAGTGCCATGGTTCACATTCAGTTCTAAACTTTCATAAAAAAATTCAAAATCTTCAAGAATCCTCAACAGAGGCTCCAATGTCAAAAATTAATAAAAAAAGGGAACAAAGAAATACTTGGAGACGATGATATATATATATAGACAAGATACATTAGTTTGAGAAATGAAGATGTCAGGTTTCTTGGGTGAATTCTGTGTATCATAAATTACATGAAACGAGTTAAATATCCTTTTTGAGTCAGTGGACTTGGAGGTTATTGTTTTCATGTGATTAGCTTCCAAAACTAGTAGTTTTATTTTAATGATTGACCAACTCCAAATCAAACTAGTTTTTGCTTAATAAGTATTTGTATGTAGGGAGGCTGAAGAGATATACGTATAATTCATCGTAATTATGTCTGGAAGATGTGCAAAAATATTAGGCATTCCTCATATAAATTTTTGTTGGGGCAGAGTTATGTAGGGAGGGATGGAATGAGACAGGTCAATGCTTCGAGGATGATACATATGGCAAAAGGAACAGTAGAACTTGTAGAGGTATTTCTCAGACTCCTCATTTCAGAAGAGGTTTGAGGTGGCCTGTGGTGTCAGGGTCACCACAAAATTTCTTGGATTCACATGATATATGACTATAATATTAATCCTTGGTTTCCAGTAGAGAGAAGTTCCATTCCTGAGGAGCCTGCAAGTCAAATTTTTATTAAGCTGCAACACGACAGCCAGGACTAACAGGTTTTAGGGTTGTCATAACAACTATGGAAGGAAGAATTCTGAATTGTTATGAAGGTAAAATCACAAGAAAAATACAATAAACTCTAAAGCATATGGAACAAATGAACAGTTAGGATCTCAGCCAGAGATTTTGTTGGCCATAGCACTACCAACGGCCACTCTTTAAATAAGATTTTTGGTTGATTAGAAAGGTGTATCCTCCTACACATCCTAGGAGGAATCTTCTTGGTTCAAAGAAAGGATTTCTAGCTAAATATTTGGTTTCTCAAGTGCCCTAGGATGCAAATACAATGTGGGACAGGTTGGCAATATTGGATGTTCCTAGGAAAAAATTCGACCGCTGAAACTTTTGCCAACATTGAACGAGTCTTTGTAAATTCATCTTATACAAGCTTTTGGTTATCCATCAAAAGAAGGACCCAAAACGAAAATTAACTAGAAAATGAAAGGCCATGCAAATCACATAAAGGACATAATTCAAATTAACAGCACTATCATAAACTTCAAATTAACAGCACTATCATAAACTTGTCTCTGCTACGTCAATCACATCTTCATGAACAAGAACAAAACTTAAAAGCATAGTTATTTCGAAGAGTCAATGACAGGCACATAAAAATATCCTCCGTTACAACACTGAGTAAAAAACAAACTTAAAAGTAAAAATACCTAACCCAGAAAGATTTAAGCAACCAAGAAGTCAACTTACAGCAATGGTTGCTATTTGACTACGATCACCCCATTCAGCTAGAAAGGTAAGGATAAATGACTGCAAAGAGGACAAATAATGATTCTAGGTGAAAAAAAGAATGTCATGAAACATACCATGCATAAATAAGTCCAAAACGAAATTTAACAATATATAAAGTCCTCACATTCACAAGAAACCTTAATGAACCTAAAGCTTCGTACTTTACCCATGATATTGTGATTTATTATATAAAACACTAGCATTGAAGCATTTGCATGGAAACTGCATCTGCTAAATATCAAACTGCAAGGGCAGGTAGAGAAAAACAAACCTCTAAAAAAATCGGTGTACAAAACCTTGAGAAGAAGCGACGAAATGCGGTTTTTCCTTGTCCTGTTTCTAGTTTTTCTTCAACCTGCGCCATAGTTTGGGGGAATAAAGCATACATTTCATTCACTTCTAAAATTAACATCAGGGCACATAGATTTTCTATGAGGTAACTGAATGTAATTAGCCTCTTAGATTTTCTATGAGGTAATTGAATGTAATTAGCCTCTTTAATCAAAATCATCTAGCAAGAGACTGTCTGGTATATCACCCTAGTTCAAGTTTATACAGCAGTACTGCAAATACTTGGGGAGCATAGCATCTTTATCATTTAAAACACACAAACCAACATATCTACTAAATTGATTTAGAAACCATTCTGAAACAATTACAAGTCATTTAGGTACAGCTAAATTTTTTATAATAGGCTAGTTGCATCTAAATTTATCACTTTTTAGGTTCCGAAGATAAATATGACAATTTGGTCGTGCACATATTCATATCTACATTGTCAATGCTCAATACATACCTATAAATCCAATAAAGGAAAGGAAAGACAAGAATTTAAAATCCCTTTAATCACATAAGTTTGCATATAAAGACATATATAATGAGACGACATATAATTAAACACATTAGAGATTGTTCTGGACCGAGCAGAAACATTTTGAGGACCAATAATTTTTTTTTAAATTAGCCAGTTGCAAATGTATTCACAACCTTTGAAAGACCAATTATACATGATGATAAGCTAGTAGCATACACAGTCCCGTTATAGTATTTATGCTGCCAAGTCACTAGCCTTTTGGACAATACTTTACCTGACAATCACTACAAAGAAAGAGGCCCATGCAGAAGGATAAGAAAAGTCCAAGTAAAAATATTTTAATTCGCATGAACACATAAGCTCACACATAATTGTGTATTTATCTGGCATCCAAATTAAAAAAAAAATCTTAGAAGAATATGCAAAAAAGATAGTTTCTTTCCAGTATTTCCATAAGAGAGGGTTCACCATTTGTCACAGTAGTCTCTGGTTAGGGCCACAACTCACCTATTGACAGCAAAATGGATAACAAAGAATATCTAGCTCATAAATGAAGATACGAATACGAAATGTAAAATTTTCAGGAATCATCTCATTTCATAAACTTGGAAGGAATTCCTCATTTGGCAACTTGGAATGCTACAGCTAGCTGGAAGTCTGCACTTCTCAAAAAGAGAAATCCACACTTCACATTCCCCCCCCCCCGCCCCCCTCCCCACCTAGAAAAAATAAATAAATAAAAAACATAAACATTAAAAAAAAAAGGCGAGATAATTTTTTCAAAAAATGAGAAACATGGATTTCTCATATGAGCTCACCTTTCTTTATTTGCCCAAACTTTTATTTCTTTTAAACCATATTGAGATAAAATTTTGAGGGTACATGCGCCTCATAATTTTTAAAAATCAAAACAAAAATAATACTCCTTAAGTTAAAGAGGTAATTTCATCATTTCATTTTTTATTTATTTTATATTTTTTATAGGTGCATGAGAGTGAGAAGTATAAACGCCCAAAGTTTTATATCAAGAAAATAAAATAAATTAAAATACGTAGATAGGTCACCATCTGATCAAGATCGGAAGGTTGAGATCGATAGCGTTTTACTTATGAACTGCAACGTTTTAATGTGTTCTACACCGTCTATTTTGTTAGACCTACGGTGGATGAGCTATGATTTCAAAATCTCATTCATTTAACAAATATCACCCCTCTCATCAATAAAATCTTCAATGAACAGTTAAAACTGAGTAATTTCTAAATTTCCAAGTTTACAACACCCAAGTTAAACCAAATACAATTTTTGAGAATTCCCGACAGATTACCCAAACACAGTATTCTCCATTACTAGTACTCAAAGTTTCTGTTTCTAGATTCCAGAATTAAAAAATCTCAATTCTTATTCCCTCCCGTTGCCAAACAACCTCTAAGGGCACTTTTGGTAACTAGAAGATGGGAATTCCTTGAAAGTCTGAAATTTTAGTTCCTTAGAAGCTGGAACTACTTATATCTGGAAGTTTTGGAATACCTATTTGATAACCTATCAGGAAGTTCTCAAATACGAGATCAAGTTGCACAAAATCTAACAAAGCAGTACACAGATTAGCCTTCACAACTTCACAGAGAGAGAGAGAGAGAGAGAGAGAGAGAGAGGAGGTAGGTAGTACAGTAGTAGTAGAGAGAAGAGATGACGAGAGAGAGAGTAGTAGGAAAGAAACGAACTAAGTACGTAGTAGAGAGAAGACGACACGTAG